AGGAGACAGACCCGACACACGGGTATGTTTCAAATGCTTGGCATGCGTCGGCAACTACCGTGACTTGCTGTAATCTCTCTTGCCCCACGTCCACTCCTCACCCTCTGCTCCCACATGTTCCCCTTCTCTCACGTCCCACTCCTCGCACCTTCAGTTTAACGCATGTTTCCCTCCTCTCACGTCCCACTCCTCGCACCTTCAGTTTAAGAATGCCGTTGTATAGCCAGGTGACATATCACCGACAGCTGCTTGGAGAGGCACGCTGCAATCGCACGAGCAGTTTCTCAATGATACGTTGCGCAACCAGCGACACCTCGCTGGGCTGTTTCGGCTACCAGGGTTTGACATATCGATGGTGGTTGCCGACCTTATGCATTGCTCATGCCTGGGCATTGTCCAGTACGTTCTCGGAAACATCATATGGGAGCTTTTCACACACATGGGCGGGACATTCGACAGGCACGTCGTCGTATGTGGTCGTTTATGCGGATTGGTCAACATGGCGGCCAAGCAACATCACATTCAAGCTCCGTTCGGACACTTATCGATAGGAATGATCAGGGCATCGCGTTCAGCACCACCGAAGCTCAAGCTCAAGGCTTCACGGGTGGACCAACTCGTTCTCCCCACAAAACAAACTAAACATACATGCAGGCAGGGTTGGTTAATCTCAGCTCTTTATGTGATGAGCTCATCATGTAATGAGCTGAGATTAACTAAATTATAGTTTCGTTCTCCCCCCCAGTCCTGGTTCATTCCCAGTTCCTCCTGCACTCTCCCATGTGGTGTTTCCCAGAACGCTCTAGGCCGCAGAGGGCAGAAGAATGCTCGAAGTCATGCCGTACTTGCTTACTGACTATTTCCCGATGGCGACAGATCGAGACACCATGAGATATGACATGGTCACTGCTCTGTGCCGCGTCTACGAGTCCCTGAAAAACTATGACCCTGCCCAATCCCACGTAGAAATCAGTAGGGCTGCCCACCAACATCTCGCTCTTTACAGGGAGTTTCACAGGATTTCCCTAATCCATGTGTGCCCGTATGGAACGTTTTACAGATGGTACCCCAAACACCATTTGTTTCTCCACTGCTGCACTGACCAGCAGAACCTGTTTGGTTCGGCCTCTTCGTACTGGGCCTACGCAGACGAGTCAGAGATAGGACAGTGCAGTGACATGGCAGAGTTTTGCAAGCCTGTCGCCATCACCACTTCTCTGCTCGAGAAGTATAGGGGGTCGCATTTTTAAGAGTGCGAGTTTGAACGAGGACGGGGCGGGCCTCGGCAGAAATTTGCAGCGCGATGCGGCTCCCTCTCGAACGTCCCGTTTCATTATCCACTTATGCCGTTCTCTACCTCCCTCTCTTCTTCTTCTTCCTCCTCCTCCTCCTCCTCCTCCCCTCCTCCCCCTCCTCCTCCTCCTCCTCCTCCTCCTCCTCCTCCTCGGCTTCCTCCTCCTCCTCCTCCTCCTCCTCCTCCTCCGTTCCATCCTCCTCCTTTGCATCTCTCCTCCCTCCTTCCCTCTCTCTGCCTCTCTTGCCCTTCCCTCCCTCCCTGAGAAGGGGTTCGGAAGAGCACTCCGGATGTGTGATAGTGCGCGCGCGATGTTAACACATATCTCCAGCTCGATTGCCAATCTATTCATACATATCGAAGGGGCCCTGGGACACACAAATAAATATACACAACAGTATTTCCCATCTTCCCATATTATGTTCTGGGTTTTTGTCGTCCCCCCACCTCCCATATTTTGCCATATTTTCTTTGGGATCGACGATTATTGGTGTTTGTGTATTTGCGTCCCTCCACACACACACACATATATATATATATATATATGGTTTATATACGAATTACAATATATGGTAAATCTACGGTGCTCTTAAACATGAGGGTATTAGATATTAATGTTAAACACAAGTTTAAATACATTTTTTCTTACGTCAGGTTTTTTATATAAAAAACATTTGCTTTGCTGTTGCACGGAATGGACAATATCTAAAACATATGAAGAATAATGCGTGCTTAGTTTTTTTATTCAAAGATTTTTGGGTTATTTTGCGCATCATGCTCGAACGCGCGATTCCGAATAAATTTAGAAGAATGTGGGAAAAAAGTAGACTTTCTACCAAAAGTTTTGGAGAATGGAAGGTCGGGGCTTCTGGCGCCTGCGCAGCTTCCCGAGCCGCTTCTGGAACCATATGTGGGCCGGTCCAGCGATAGGTTTCCTGGATGTGCTGAACCATCAAACTTTGTGAGACTTCTGCGTCTCAAGGATAGGAAGAGAAGACATTAAAGGAGGATCAAAAAGCAACGTCGCTATGAACGCTTGGCTGCCGCAAACCAGTTCTACTTACTTGGACTACTACTACCGTTACCACTACTACTAGTGCTACAGCCGCAACAACAATATCATCAACTGCTGCTACTACAACTACTCATCCTTCCTCCCCCTCCTCCCCCTCCCTTCTCCTCCTCCCCCTCCCTATCTCTCTCATCTCCCCCTCCTCTTCCTCTTCCTCTCCCTCTGAGATGCGGGGCATGCGCAAGGCGATTGCGAAGGCGATGTGCCGTCCGAGCTATGGATGTTGAAGTTCCTCGGAAGAGGTGGTGGCCAAACCTTCTTGGGCGGGATATCTGGGTGAGGGAATATCGGATCCCGCATGCCAGAAAAATCCCCCATGATGGGGTGTGTTATCCAGATGGATGCATGTGTCATGTGGAAGCATGGCGCATGAGGGTAAAAGGATTGTTGTTGTTGTTGCTGCTGTTGGTGTTGTTGTTGTTGTTGTTGAACCCCCCGCAGCGAATCATCCTCATGTTAGGTCGTTTGGAGGTAGGGGCGGGGGCAATCACGGCGCCAGGAATGGAACTTTGAAGGGTTCCAGGTGGAGCGAGGGAAGACTGGAGAACGATTCGGCCCACAGCTGCAGTTCTCTCAGGCGCGGTTAAGTTCTGGTTCATCAGAGTCCCCGTGCACGGGGCGCTGAGCCAGTCTGCTAATTCCGAAAAGGTCGTCTCAACATACAAATCTCTTTCTTGAGCGCAGGTAGGGAGCATGACAACGTCAGTTCTGCAGGCACGCGGTCAGCGTGCCACACATCAAAGCGTCCCGTATATTCCGTATTACACGGTCAGGAAATATAAAGTGCCGCAGATATTACGAGAGCGTCGCAGAAGGGAGTCAAACATACATACAGACATACCAACATACATGCAAACACACATGCAAGGATACATCCGTATGTATATATATATATACAAACATACATCCTCACGTCCATCCACCCATCCCCACATACACTCATACATACGTATATATAGACATATATACATACATACATGCAGACATACGGACATACATGCATACATACATATATGCACACAATCACACACACATACAAATACACATACATGCATGCATGCATGCATACATACATGAATACTTATACATGCATATATATATATATACACAACTCTATCCGTGTTATCATACGAAATTATCCGAGGGAGTAGGGCTCATAGGCAATTAATATGTTCCGTTCGCGATGTTTCTGGCCGTGTTGCATGGGACATCCGCACCATTCTGACAATGGATGCTTCCCATCACGCAGATCGTGACGTCGAGGTACAACAATATTTGTGTCAAACACTGTAGTCCTGAAGCAGTCAAAACAAGCAGCATGGAATTAATTAGTGTTGAACCCGAATCCTCGGACATTGCGGTTTCGCCTGAGGCACCCTCCAACAATATAGTTTTCTGAACACGAGTCGTAGCACAAAGCAGTTCGGTCTGAGAAAATCTCCCACAATCGAGCACCGACGTACAACACACAGACAAACAGAGCACACACACACACACACACGCACCACATGCACACACACACACACACACACACACACCGCACCTACACCACACACATACATCACACGCAGAACACACACACACAACAAACACGCTACACACAAGCACACACAACACACACACACACATGACGCGTCGCAGCACACACACACATACACAACGCACACACAACACGAACACGCAGACACACACCATCCCCACACAGCTCACACATAGCACGCACACAACACACGCACTCAACACACTTCAAACACGGCACGCGCATGATGCACCACAATCACATTTTGCACATGTGATTGTAGGAGGTTGGGCACGCACGAGTTGCCTTCTAGCATCTATATAGACATGTTCACATACATACATACGAATATACGCACATGTAGACTTACATCTATATGTCTATATATATATATATGTACAGATCAATCAAATAGTACACGCAGCCGAATACAATCGGCAAACATCCTCTTTCTGGATGTAGCAAGTAGTTGCCAATGGTGGATCCATTGGAAGTGTGGTTGTTGCCTCTTGTGCTTTTTGAAGGTTTGTTAATTGTCGGTTAGTTCGCAGGTGCCATCGGAGCCTCGTATAAGGGCTTACGCAGTTCTAAGCCTTCCAGGCTAGGCCAGCTTTCTAGAAGCACGGGAGCACAGCTTCAGACGCGCGGAATATAAAAGTCAGTAGTGCACGACGTCCAGTGTTTCATGAAGCAGTTCTTCTTGATGGGCACACTTCCGCCACCGCATTGGAATGATATTGCAGGACGTGACGGGTCGCAAGCCCCTGATTTCTAGGGTTCCATTGCTATCGGGGGTTCCAGGGAGGTGTCGGTTTCGAGTTGTATGTAGTTTGGCACATCATGCGCTTACGCGCTGTCTAGCTGGCGCAGAAGGTTTCACTCTAGGAAGGGGTGGGCGCATTTGGCTCGTGATTCTTTTACTCAACGGTCCAAACATTTAAGTGTTGTTTCCTTCCAAGTGGGGTTGTGGGTCTTCAGATGCGGGGATATTCGTGACCAGACGAGTCGGTGGAGGTGGTAGGCGAAGGCGCAATAAGCGCCAAAAGTTGCACGCGAGCGAATCGCATGCATGACGCTTTGATAATATCAAATAACACGAAGTTGGATGGGGCCAGGTTGGACTGCCTCAGTTCGCATTGCGAAGCCCGCTGTGGGAGACCCACGAGTCGCTGAGCGCTCTGTTAGATGGAGGCGCGAACGCCTCGACGTCCTTGCCGGAGGGGCAGGGAGGGACATCGTCGAGGACGGAGTTTGGAGATCTGTTTGCGAGATGGTTGTCGTTGTCGTGGGGCATTGTCATGGGATCGAAGATGAGCCGGTCTTGCCTCCACACTATTTGGGCAAAACAGAAACACACAAATTTGTATACATATATTTATGTACGTATAGATCTATGAAAAAGAGTGGGCCGAGCCCGCATTCTGAAAAATGATTATTGTTGATCCCCCTGCGGTAATCCATATATATATATATACATGTGTGTATGTGTGTTTCAACTGAAGGGCCCTTCCCAGGGCTCGCGCCCTTTCATAATGGAATCCCTTGCGCCTCAGACTGTGCCCCTTGCCCCTGGTTTACAACCACAGCGGTTCCCGCCTGATAGTCTGCACAATTCACTGAGCTATCCAGCTTTCGCTAGAGACTGCATTGCAGTGCAAGTTTTCCCAGGATCGCGCTGCCGCCTGGCACTTCTCACAATAGATTCACGTTGGCGTTCTCGGCACTCTGGAATCGCGCTCTCGCAAGGGGCTTCCTCACAATTTCTGCAGGAATCGCGCTCTCGCTCAAGACGTCCTCACAATCTATCTATTCACGAACGGCTCTTTCGGCGCTCTGGAATCGCGATCTTTCTCGGGACCTCACAATTCATTCTGGAACCGCGCTCTCGCCTGATATTTGTTTGCCATCCCCGCTTGCAAATCCCTCTTGCTACTCCCTCTCGTCCTCCATCGTCTCCGTCCTTCCTTGCCCCCATTCCCTCCTGCCCTTCCTCCACTCCCTTCCTCCTCGCTCTCTCCCTTTCCCGTTTTTCCGGTGCTGCGCCAATTGCTTACAGTAACAGGCAAGGGAAACCTATCCCCAAGTGGGGTACACTCGAGGACGAAGAGGGCGGGCACCGAGGTTTTGTATAGACATGTTGAAACACACGTGGGCATCTTATCACGAGCAGTCTTGAAATTAGTGTTGTCGTTGTTGTCGTCGTCGCCTCCTCCCGAGACCCACCCCGCGACCCACCCCGCGACCCACCCGTGATACACCCGCGACCCACCCCGTGCCCGCCCCCTCATTCTCATCTGCAACTGCGGGGTGCTGCGTAGTTGATTTGATAGCGGCTGGGCCTGGAGGATGGCAGTAGCCTCGTCGCTTTTGTATAATTTCTCGATTATTGCTTCGTGGTCTGATTGATAGGGGATTCCTGTGGTGCGCACCCTCCCACACTGCAGGTTTCAGTGACTTGAAATCGCTGTGATAACACGTCGTTGTACCCAGCCGAGCCAAGGTGTTATTTCCGTTCTTGGTCTCGTGGTGCGATTTGATGTACGAGTTGCTAATGCTTGGGGCATGGGTGGTGCTGGTAGACGTTCGGCCACCCGACGCTTCCGCACGCAGCCAGTCCAGCAGTTCTTCCCGCGCTTGTGTCAGCCATCAGACGAGCAGAACGCTGTGTACGCTCATGCCCGCTCAACGGGGGGCATCAGTCACATAATAAGATGTTGAGCAGCACGGATGTTCGCCCACAGTGTCCAGCACCGCGGGCCACGCGCTCCTACGCTCCTCCAGCTTCTCCTCGCGTGTCCCGCCACCCTTCCGCAGCAAGCCTGGCAGAAGGTCCAGTTGGAGACGAGAGCTCCCAGCAGGCTGGGGTGCACTTCGCGAAGCTCCCACGAGCAGAGCTCCCACCCGCGCGCGCTCGGCGCTTCCCTGGAGAGAGCGCGCGGCGACCTCGAGGAGGAGGAAGAGGAGGAGGAAGAGGAGGAGGAGGAGGAGGAGGAGGAGGAGGTGGAGGACGAGGACGAGGAGCAGGACGAGAGGTGTTCTCGAGCTCGCGCCTGCGCCATTCGTGCGGTCCTGACCTGATCAGATCTGCTCCTCGCGCGTGCTCCGGGGAAATCTCTTGGGCCAACTCAGCGTACGCATTGTGCATTTCTGAGTATTCGAAAGTTCTTTGGTTTTCGGGGGGCCAAGATCCTTCCATTTCCAATTGTTCTATCCTGGGCCTTTTCCTGGCCACTGGGGGGCCAGGAACAACTAGAGACGAGCACAATTAGAACTGAGCGCGATTAGAACTGAACGACGTGTACGGTCGAGAGCTTCTGTTTACCGTGCCCCGGCGGCGGTTCCAGCAGCACGCCACGTCCTGCAAGTGGATGACGTGTTGCGCCGCTCCAGGAACGGGAGGCTGGGAGAGGCTCGGACCCATGATGCTCGGGGCGGAGGACGTGCTTCCCGTATTGCGCCGTAGCGTGGTGGGCCAGAAACGGCGGCGCGACGCGCCAAGCTAAGCTCCCAAGCGTCATTTCACAGACCTACGGAGCGGGTTTGAGATACACTGCCCTTGGCATCGCTCGGACGTGTGCATTTTTCTCGGCCAGAACCTTTGAGGACGATCCTGGACCATCGAGCAAAAAAAAACACGCACGAAACCGACAAATGCACGGGAAATGGACGTCCGAGCGATGGCGAGTGCCCGAATTGGATGCCCCTGCGTCCAAGCGGAGGCCCAAGCGCCACGCCGGCGATGTGCGCTTCAACCTCGCAGATTTTGGTGTGGCCGGCGGCCTGCCGCGGGCCTTTGGCAACGTCGCTGCTTTTGCCGATGATGCAGGCGAGCCGCTTCCACATCCGGATGGGTAGACGATGGCTCCACGGGCGACGCTCGAGGACGATGACAGGAACAATATTGACACCAGCTAGCCGGGTGCGACACCTCAAGATCGTGAAAGGGGATTGTGAAGAGCCGGAGGAGTAGCGGGGGCGGCGAATTAGGGCAGGAAGACCAGCCACACTTGGAGGTGCCGGATGACCATTCGCGCCATACATTGTTGATCCACAGAATGCCCGAAGTGTTTACAAACCAGGTCATTCCGGTATGAGTGAACCGAGCACCCATTACGCAGTGGGAAGAATGGTACATGCACCAGGCCATACGCCATAATGTATGGTGAACGCAATAACAGTCGAAGCGATAAGGTGGTCCAGCACGACCATGCATGATTTGAGCAACTCAGTTCACATACCTCGCCGACGAGATCTCAAACCTAATGCTAGAAGAAGTTGATGAACCGATTGGCCCAACAGAATTGTTGGCTGTTGCCGAAGGTGGGAATGGCAACACTTGACGAGTACACCCGATAGCGGATGATGAGGTACTCTACGTTTGGATACGTGCCTAAGGTGGAGAACATGAATGTATTATTTGTTGGTTGAGGCTTTGGAATTTGATACATGCATGCAAATATAATGAAACATGCGCGGGAACGCCTAGTCGACTTCCCTGGAGTCCACACCAGGATCTCACAAATTATGTCTGTGCCAGGTCTCAAACAGAACATGTTCCAGAGCGCTAGCGATTTTGCAAAGTTGTCAGCTTGCTGTATCGTCAAGTTTTGCTAGATAAGTCGCTCCAGGCTGGTATTGACCGACGGTGCAAGGTTGCCGTTGACAGTTAACGATTGCCCCCCGCCCCCACACCGACCCACACACAAGGTCCATGTTGCGAGAAATGGTGCCACACAGGGCATGTGGACACTTCTTTGCACCAGGTTCGAATGACCCAGGCGGTGGATTGGAAACGGCCTGGTGCCTTGTTGATTTTGTACTGGCAGGTGGGAACAATACCTTTGGCATGTGCGCTTCAGAATCTAAGTGTTTGTACCAACAAGTTAAGCCGTGCGAATTGAGAGGGAACACCACTAATTGCTCTGTTGTTTGGATGGCGGGGGACAGCTCGTGCTGAAGAAGAAGAAGAAGAAGTCGAGAACAGGCGAGCATTCGTTACGCGACCCCGAGGGGTTCGAATGATTGGCGCGTCTCGTATTCCTACTGGCCCATCCACAACCGATTCCTGAACAAGTTGTCTTGAGCAGGGAGGTGGAGGAGCAGCTAGTGAGCTAAAGAGGGGGGCGAACGTCAAACCGAAGCTCGGGATCTGCATCTGCCCGAGCGCCCGAGTCAACCATGCTGGCATTTCCACAGCTCGCGCTGGATGGTCAAGACGGGTTTATACTCAGCCTAGGCAGCCCCGAGCAATTACCAAGTTGGGGATATGTGGGAGCCCCTTGAAGGCATCCTGGAGCTCTCGTGAGGGCGCTGTTGGAGGCTTTTTGGTCTCGTCTGGGTCTCCCCTGGTGGCCTTTCGGGGCCCTCCTGGGCTGAGCGAGGAGGCCATCGACCCAAAAAGGTGGGCCGCCGATTTAGGTTTCTTCAGGGGCCCGCAGCGCAGCTCTCTTGGAAACTCTTGGGACCCTTCGGGGTTCTGCCCTTCTTGGGGTACTCTGTGGCCATACTTGGGAAACCTTGAGGCGTCGGAGACAAGTCGGAAGCGAAAAGGCGAAGTGTCAACACTGATGTTACAGATTGCTAGCAAGATGGGCTCGTGTTGCCCCAGATTCCGCCAGATCCCCCAGGCTCTGCCAGATTCCATCCGGACGCCCATGGGACACCACAATATCATGGGAGGTGCTCCAGAACGAAATGCGTGCCGTAAGGGTGCATTCTGTCATTCTGGTGGTCGATTGTCAGGGAAGGTCTGTCGACAAGGGGAGCGGGGGAAGACCAGGAAGAGGATAAGGCGGGGGGCCAGGTAGAGCCACCAGCGAAGCACGTCATCACGCACGAGTCGTGGAAGCTGGTGAAGGCCCCACAGCGCCGCCAATGGGGAGGGGGGGAGGAGGAGGAGGAGGAGGAGGAGGAGGAGGAGGAGGAGGAGGAGGAGGAGGAGGAGGAGGAGGAGGAGGAGGAGGAGGGGGGGAGCACTTGGCTCGCGCGAGGGCGTCGGAGGAGTCTTCGGCGGTGTGGAAGGAAGCAGTCGGGTGGGGCAGGGAGGCGAGGCTGAGAAGCGTAGCAGGGAAGCAAGTGAGGCAGGTGCGGGCCTAGCTGGGCGTGGTGTCCAACCAGGGAGACCAGCGCGCCATCCGCGACGGCCATGCTGAGAGTGATGGCAGTGCGGACTTCCATGCAGTGGCCAGCCTCCTCCAGCCACAGGGCGTGTCACTTTGGGCCTCCTGAGCGTGAGCCCCCTGCCCACAGGGCGCGTGCCCTTTCAAGAGTGGTGCCGACTAGGTTGCGCTGCTCGAGGTCGCGACAAAACTTCAGCACCACCTGAGCTCGCCCTTGGAGGCGGGCTTCTCTCCTTCGCTCCAAGCGAGGGACCGCGCGTCCGGAGTGAAGGGCCTGGCGTTGGGCATGAGATGGGCCCGAAGCGACAGGTGGCGTCCGGTGTGGGCCCCGATCCCGCCTCCCGCGGGTCCTTGGCGAGGCCAGCGGGCGACCCGCAGCAAGCCCGGCTGTCCTGAGCGGCGCGGAGGGACCGCCGCAAGCTCGTGGGCAGGACTCGGCGTGGAGAGGGCTCCGAGGGCGCGGGCGGCATGCGGCCTGCCGGCCCTGGGCGGTCCTGATCGGACGCCACTCCGGCAGGCGAGGCGGGCCGTGTGCACATAGCGTTAAGTTTCGGGCGTGTCCCTCTACAGGAGGAGCATTCAAAAATAGTCAAAAAATTGTCGGGGGACTATTGTTTGTATATGTTCGAGCATTTGGGGGGTCTGTTTTGACCATCTTCATTGTTCCTCCGAAATCCTCCTGTAGGAGGACACGCTCGACCTACATATAGCGCTGGGCTGGCCGTCGCCGAGCTCCCAGGCGGCGCAGGCCGCGTGTCGTCGCCTTCGGAGGGCGGCGCCCCGGGTGGCGGCCGCGGTGGCTGCCGCGGGTTCCCCGTGAAGGGGCCCAGCGGGCGGAGGGCCCCTTCGCGGGGCGGCCCACCGCGGGGAGCCCTTTCGCGGGGCGGCCCACCGCGGGGAGCCCCGCCCCGGCCGCGCTCTCTCAAGAGGTGGGGGCCTCGGCGTCCTCGCGGGCCGCGCCCTCGTCCTCGTCGGGGGCGGGGGGGCGGCGACCCCGAGGGGCGGCGGGAAGCCGCTGTCCGAGCCGTCCTCGTCGGGCGTCGCACGCAGCGCGCCCCGGGCGAAGGCCCCGAGCTGTCGGCGCACTGCCGCGGCGCAGTCCCACCGGAGAGTCGTCCGCCGCTCTTCGGCGCAGATGTCGCAGGCGGTTGCGACGGCCCCCAGGGGCACCAGAGAGGTGAGGCGGTCCTCCACTGCGTGGCGGAGCCCGTGGAGGAGCTGCGCGGCGGCGTGGACGCGGTGTGGCTGGCAAAAGCTGGCGAGGTTCCACCATGCGAGACAGCAGTTGGTGGGGGCGTTGGCGGGATCGCTGAGAGACGGACTGGGCAGCGGCCACTCGACCCGTAGGCAGGGGTGGACGGCGTCGTCAGTGGGGCGTGCGCGGGACAGGGCGGCAAGCTTATCAGGGTCGGTTGCCCTGTCGGGTTTCACTTCTGCGAAGGCCGAGAGGGGCAGTAGCGAAGCACAGCTCCCATCACTCCAGCTGCTCGCGCCGCGCTGGAAATACTGAGGAGCCAGCCAGGGGAGCTGTTGCCCGACCGTTTGATAGTGTCGACGCCGGGTGCAGCGTCCTCCCGAGTGGCGCGGATGCAGCGGTTGCTGTCAGAGTCTGCTGTTGGCTCGGCAGCGGCCAGGTAGTCCATCCGCCGATGTGCAGGAGGTGCTCGCCATAGTCGCGCACTCACACACACACACACACACACACACACACACACACACACACACGCACACACACACAAACACACACACACACAAACACACACACACGCACACACACACACACACACACACACACGCACGCACGCACGCACGCACGCACGCACGCACGCACGCACGCACGCACGCACGCACGCACGCACACACGCACACACACACACACACCAGTGGCGTCTTTGGCGCCGCGAGTCCCCCTAGTAGACATCAACAAAGGGACAATGGTGGACAGACAATGTGCTAGTGATAAAGGCAAGCACAACACATTATACATGTTCTGGGACCCCAAGTGGGCTTGTGGATTGCATTCACTTGTTTGTGGGCCTCCATGGCGAAGTTTCGATGGGAACGTGTTCTGCCGATCCGTGTCATCCTTCTCCCAAGCGATTGTATCTTCCCCAGGCGGGCCTTACACGACAGCTCGGGTAATCAACAGCAGCCCAGCAATTTCCGATGCCTGTTGGAACACAATCACATGGAAGTTTCATTATGCGAGATTGGCTGGCTGAACGCACGAAGCGGTTGGAGAAAGTTGCCGCCGCAAGCTAGATCACACCCGTCCTCCGTGTTTGTTTTGAGGTGGGCGCAGCGGATTGTTGTACTCCCTTCGTCTCCTCATATTTCTTCTCTTCCGCGTCCTCCTCATCTTCTTCAGTTTTGAGTGCATGGTTTGATCTACTCAGTCCTTCCCATTATTATCCCCCACTGCCGTTTTCCTCTTTTTGCAAAAAGGAGGAGGGTGACGAGGAGGAGAAAGGTGACGATGCGGAGGATGGCTTCGAGTAGGAAAGGGGGAGATGCTCAAGAGTTACTCGCGCCTGACATGTTCATACCATATGCCTTAGTCCTGGTGGGCTGGGGACCCGGGAATGCCACGCGAAGCGTCGTTCACGTCGTGGTGCCAATTGCGGGGTGATGGTTACACCCCCAAATATGCCATCGACTTGGCGCTTTCTTGGATTGGAGATATGTCCCGAGTCTCGAAGCGCAGCATGCCAGACGCAGGGCGTTCGGTCCAGGTATTCTTTTGGATGCCCTGGAGCGCGTGACCACCTGTCCCGCATCCTCACACTTCTCTTCTACTCATCCTTTCACCTGCAACATGTACGAGAGTTTGTACCGCATCGCCGCACGAACGTTGGTCGAACTGTCTGTTTGGAGACCATGGCACGCCAGGATGTCCTTACACTGGTGCTCAGAGAGGGCGAGAGGGGGGATTGGCCCAAGGAGAGACATCGACCCCCTGTCGCACACTCGTCGCCGATCGGGGCTCGCGTGCCATCCCCCACCCGGGAACGCGCGGCGTCGCCACCGGAGGCGACGGTCGCCGATCCATCGGTGACGTATGGCCGACGGGGCCGATGCCCCCTCCCCGAGGCCAGCGTTCTCCCCTCTCTTGCGGCTCCACAGGACCTGCGGCTCCACAGGACCTGCGGCTCCACACGAAAGTGGTGGCTCGTGAGGAGAGAATGGCAGCCGCTTTTCCCCCCCGTTCGCAGCCGAGGTGGAGCCCGAGGTGCAGGACAACCAGGGCCGCGCGCGGGGGGTGGGGGCGCCTCGGGGTGCGCGCCCTATCCCCCTCCGCCCTCCCTCCCTCCCTCCCTCGGTCCTTCCCCTCCTCCGCGTCCTCCTCCTCCTCCTCCTCCTCCTCCTCCTCCTCCTCATCCTACTCATCATCATCTTCATCAGTGCCGTTGTCATGACCATTGCCATGATCATGATCATCATCATCATCATCATCATCATCATCATCATCATCATCATCAGCAGCATCATCAGCTTCATCATCTTCATCAGAATCGGCATCAGCATCGTCGTTATCATCATTGCCGTCATCATCATCATCATCATCATCAGCATCATCATCAGCAGCAGCATAATCGTCATAATCGTCGTCTACGTCATCATCAGCATCATCATCATCATCATCATCATCATCATCATCATCAGAATCATCATCAGCATCATCATCATCCTCATCGTCCTCATCCTCATCCTCATCCTCATCCTCATCCTACTCATCATCATCATCCACATCATCATCATCATCATCATCATCATCAGCATACTCAGCAGCATCAGTATCAGCATCAGCACGCTCAGCATCATCAGCATCCTCCTCCTCAGCATACTCATCGTTGCCGTCGTCGTCATCATCTTCATCAGCATCATGATCATCATCATCATCATCATCATCAGCAGCAGCAGCAGCAGCAGCACTATAAGCATCATCATCATCAAAACCACAACCATCATCACCATCGTCACCATCAGCATTACCATCACCATCATCATCCCCGTTCCGCACCGATCGCTCGATCGCTGGCGCAAAGGGCTAGTAGTCTCGAAGTAGGCAGCATGTCTTGAGGGAGATCATTGGGCACCCTCTCACCGCTATTATCTCCCGCGTGACTGGCAACTCCAGCGCAAGCAACTCAGCAAGAGGCAACGGGAGCCTCTTCGGGGTTTGCGGTTCAAAAGAAGGGACGCTTGTTGAGCTAGGAGCAGGATGGGACGTGCAAGGAAAAGTGAGTGTAGGCAGGAGGTGAGTGGATCCAAGGGCACAGATGTCCAGACGAACCTTGCGGACGTGCGGATCACACCCTCAAGACATCGCACCTGGGGAGGGCTTCATGGCATGGCCTCTCCTAGACTCGGGTGGGCGAGGACCGCATCCAATCATCCGGTCGATGGCGCCTAGGATGGCAAGGCTCTCCTGCCTCACTCCGCCCCCTCGGGGCCTCACCAAGGCCAGAATCACCCCAGTCATCTCCGACCTCCGACACAGCACCGTGCGCACCACGGACCGCGGCACGCCCGAACCACAGGGGCCGGGAGCTCTCCAGAGGCAGCGGCATGGGCATAGCCACCTGCCCCCAGACACCACCAACCACGTGCCCCACTGCCTCCTCCTCCTCCTCCTCCTCCTCCTCCTCCTCCTCCTCCTCCCCCTTCTCCTCCTCCTCCTCCTCCTCCTCCTCCTCCTCCTCCTCCTCCTCCTCTGTCTCCCCCTTCTCCTCCTCCTCCTCCTCCTCCTCCTCCTCCTCCCCTCCTCCCCCTCCTCCTCCCCCTCATCGTCCTCCCTCTCCTCCTCCTCCTCCTCCTTCTCCTCCTCTCCTCCTCCACCTCCTCCTCCTCCTCCTCCTCCTCCTCCTCCTCCTCCTCCTCCTCCTCCGGGGCCGACACCCAGGATGGGCCCCGCCTCGTGGACAGGCAGTCCCCCCCCTCCCCTGGAACCCACCGACCTCCGCGACAATCTCGTTTGAGGGGGAAGGGGGGGGCCAAAAGGCTCACGGGGGAAGGGGGAGGTGCACATTGGAGCGCAGAATTTCGTCGTCGTCGTCCTCCGCCTCTCCTCCTCCTCTCCTCTTCCTGCTCATCCTCCTCCTCCTCCTCATCATCATCATCCCTCAGCAGGGAGCTGCATGCGATGCACCACCGGAACTGAAAGCTCGCGAGCGCATTCATTGCAATGGTACCGCGCCTGCTGCCGCGCCGAATATCAGCACCATCTTGCAGGGAACTGATTATGTCGACGTCTAAGCCCAGGAACGACTCCGACCATGCAGACCGAGCTTCACGATTCCGCTGTCCACACGGAGGTCAGCAGTTTCACATATGCCTTCAAATACGTGCGAGCATGTGATTAAGAAACACCCTTCCTCATAGCTGGGTCAGCGTTTCTTAGCCAACTTGCAGGAACGTTGGCCCAGCTGTTTAAGCGTGTTCGCCCTTCCAGCGTGAACAAAAACGTTGGCCCAGGCCCTGGTGCCTGGAGCTGTAGCTGCTTGATCATATCTTCAGCTGTATGACGAGATCGGCCTCGGTCACTGCGTGGAAGATGCTGCCATCGCAGCGTTGGCGCAGACCCTGGGCTCCACGAGCTCTGGGTCCTCTTCGAATGGGACGAGTTGACGTACCAGGCGCAGCTCGACGAGGGCACGGTCACCATCCGGAAGCCCTCGGTCCGTGCAGGCTGCGACGGCGGCATGAACGACCGAGTAAGGTGTTTGTCGCGCTGCTCTTTCGCAAGGTGGCGAGCTCTCTCCTGATTAGTTGTCATGCTCCCTCTCCTCCGCCACACCGTTCTCAGTGCATGATATCTCCCGCACTGCGTGCAGCATAGTATTTGCGACAGCCGATACGATGCGAGCACCCTCGCCGCACGTCTCTTTGGGGCCCTCCTCGGGGCCCAGCCCCCGCCTGGCGTCTGGCTCACGCGGCATGGCATGCCTAGTCGGTTCGTCCGCTGCACTGCCATGCTCTTCTTCGTCTCGTACCGCCTCGTCCGTCGGGTTGGCGTCTTCACCCCTCCTTCCGCGGCCCCCCTTGGGTCTCGTCGCCCGTCCTTCCCAGGACGTCTTTCGCTGCCCTGTCCTCCTCTGCGGTCTGTCTTTCACTGCACCCTCCTCCGTTCCCCCGCCATTCTACCACGTGTCATCCACGGGCCTGTGTCCCGCTTCACCCTCCCTGCGTCGGGTATGCCTGGCACGGTTGCTTTGAATGGACTGCTGATCTGTTGAAGGGCCCGCCACGCTCGTCCCATTCGGTGATTTTCTCCGCCTACTCGCCGCGCGCGAGGCCGCAATCACCCGAAAGTGTGTGTGTGTGTGTGTGTGTGTGTTGTGCGTGTGTTGTGCTGTGCTGTGCCGTGCTGTGCTGTGCTGCGCTGTGATGTGTTGTGCTGTGCTGTGTTGTGTTGTGTTGTGTTGTGTTGTGTTGTGTTGTGTTGTGTTGTGTGGTTTGTATTTTGTTGTGCGTGTGTTGTGTTGTGTTGTATTGTGTTGTGGTGTGGTGTGGTGTGGTGTGGTGTGGTGTGTATTGTTTTGTGTTGTGTTGTCTGTGCTGTGGTTGGTTGTGTTGTGTGGTGTGGTGTTGTGTTGTGTTGTGGTGCGGTGTGTTGTATTGTGTTGTGGTGTGTTGTGTCGTGCTGTGGTGTGTTGTTGTGTGTTGTGTGTTTCGTGTGTGTGTGTGTGGAATGTGTTGTGCGTGTGGTGTGTTGTGCTATGTTGTGATGTGATGTGACATTATGTGATGTGATGTGTTGTGTGCTGTGTGCTGTGTGTTGTGTGTGTCGTCGTGTGTTGTGTGTTGTCTTCCGTTGTGTTGTGCGTGTGGTGTCGTGTTGTGTTGCGTTGTGTTGTGTGTTGTGTGTTGTGTGTGTTATGTGTGTTGTGTTTGTGTGTGTTCCCCCCTTCTTTCCCTCCCGCTCTTCCGACCATCGCGCCCGTCGCGCGCGTTCCGAGGGGCGCTCCGGCGCCTGCTCGGCGGGATGGCGACGACGGCACAGGTTGGCCGGGCTTCTGATTCCCGACAGCTTCTTTTCCTGGACGGGCTACGACTGCCATTTCTCCCCGTGGACCGTGGGACGCTCGTCGAAAAAGTGTGTGTGTGTGTGCGTGCGCGTCACCTCGCATGCCTCCGCACGTGCACGACTTCGGCGCCTTGTTCTGCATCCGTCAACCGCTTGTCGTTTGGCATCTCATCGACACACGTTCGGTGGTAATCAGCCTAGCGCATCCCATTGTTGCCCGTGCTGTCTTGGACCAACCAGTCGCGACGCAGAAACATGTGTTTGTGTGTTTGTGTGTGCGTGCGTGCGTGCCCCGAATTTCTACGCCGCGCCGCCGCGAGCGTGGCCGCGACGCCCGAAAACGAGCATGCGTGCGTGCGCGCGCGTGTGTGTGTGTGTGTGTGTGTGTGTGTGTGCTTGCGTTTGTGTGTGTTTGCCATCGCCAGAGCAGTCCCTCTGCCCAGCCGCCGACGCAAAAAGTGTGTGTATGTGTTTGTGTGTTGTGTGTGTGTTGTGTGTGTGTGTGTTGTGTGCGTGTTGCGTGTGTGTGTGTTGTGTATGTGTCTGTGTCTGTCTGTGTGTCTGTGTGTATGTGTGTGCTTGTGTGTGTGTGTTGCATGTGTGTTTTTGTGTGTTTGTGTGTGCTTGTTTGTACTTGTGTGTGTGGTTGGGTTGGTGGGTGGGTGAGTGGGTGGGTGGGTGACTTGGTGGATGGGTGGGGGAGTGGGGGGGGGCGGGCGGGCGAGCGGGCGGGCTGGTGTGTCTGTGTGCTGAAGCTCGGTGCGATCAGCTACCATTCATGGCTCCTTTGCCACGCAAGAGCTGCAGCCGTGTCTTGTGGAGCTCGCGCGTGACGCGTGCAGGTGGAGGACCCGCCGAGATGGACACGCCCCTTCCCTTCCTCCCATTGCGTTTGTCAGTTTGCCAAGCGTAGTTCCTGCACCAGGCATGTGACGTTGTGCGGCAGACTAGCGCAAGGAAGTGTGTGTGTGTGTGTGAGTGTCTCTGTGTGCGTCTCTGTGTGTCTGTGTGTCATTGCGTCTCTGTGTGCCTGTGTTTGTGTCTGTGTGTGTCTCTGTGCGTCTCTTTGTGCTTCTGTGTGTCTCTGTGTGTCTCTGTGTGTGTGTGTCTCCGTGTGTCTCTCTGTGTCTCTGTGTGTCTCTGGGAATACTTCGGAGAGAGGAGTGAGAGAGGACGAATTGAGATTGGAGACGAGGAGAGAGGGGGGGGGGGGGAATATGTCGGAGAAGGGAGAGGAGAGGAGCAATTGAGATCGGAGCCGAGGAGGGGAGGGGAATACTTCGGAGAGGGGAGAGGAGAGGAGGAATTGAGATTGGAGCCGAGGAGGGGAGGGGAATACTTCGGAGAGGGGAGAGGAGAGGAGGAATTGAGATTGGAGCCGAGGAGAGGAGGGGAATACTTCAGAGAGGGGAGAGGAGAGGAGGAATTGAGATTGGAGCCGAGGGGGGGAGGGGAATACTTCGGAGAGAGGAGAGGAGGCAAGGAATATCTATTGGAACCGAGGAGAGGAAGGGAATACTTGAGGGAGATGAGAGCAGAGGAGGAATTGAGAGTGGAGCCGAGGAGAGGCGGGAAATACTTCGGAGAGAGGAAAGGAGAGGAGGAATTGCGAGTGGAGCCGAAGGCACGAGGGGAATACTGCAGAGAGAAGAGAGGAGAGGAGGAATTGAGATAGGAGCCGAGGAGAGGAGAGGAATACTTCGGAGAGAGGGGAGGAGAGGAGGAATTGAGATTGGATCTGGGGAGGGGAAGGGAATACTTCGGAGACAGGAGAGGGGAGGAGGAATTGAGAGTGGAGCCGAGGAGAGAAGGGGAATACTTCGGAGAGAGGAGAGGAGAGGAGGAATTGAGATTGGAGCCGAGGAGAGGAGGGGAATACTTCGGAGAGGGGAGAGGAGAGGAGGAATCGAGATTGGATTCAAGGAGAGGACGGGAATACTTCGGAGAGGGAGGAGGGGAGAGGAGAGGAGGAATTGAGATTAGAGCCGAGGAGAGGAGGAGAGCTGAGGAGAGGGGGGGCGGGAAGGAGGCGGAGGAGGATCGGGGGGAGAGGAGGGGGGGGAGAGGAGGGGAGCACTTCGCCGCAGCAGGAGTTTCCTCAGAAGCGTGCGAGGCCTCCAGACGGCCCAAAAGCGATGACAATGCGGCTGCACGACTCCAGCACGGTTCCAAGGTGGGCCGCAAAGCGACCCGACAAGACCTTCAACATGATCCGCACATGATCTCGACGGGCCTTTCCGATGGCCCCATGCTGATCTGGAGATGATGTCACGACGACTCCAAGCTGCCATCGAACGGCAGGACGTGTACCCCCCTGGAAGTACGGACATCGTATTCTCGACGACGGGGCGCACGACTGGTTAGACGAAGCTTGCATTACTGAAATGCTGCAGTCGAGCGGGAACCCGCCCAGACGAAGAACGAAGGGTCATCTGCTAGGCCTCTGGGAGAAGCACGGGGGAGAGTGCACTGCCTCCTTAGCACTCGCCCCCCTCGGGGCCGCTGTCGCGGGGCGATCGTGCCTGCGGGCGTGCTATGTCATCGGGCGCACCGGGAAAAAGTTCAAAGAACGTTCGCGGCAGCGATCTGCAAAGGTGAAAGGAAACAGAGGACGGCAACGTCGACACCCAGAAAGACTTGAGAGCGTGAACCCCTGAGAGGAGCACACTGCACCGCCTGCGACACCACGGGGGAGGTGGAGGAGGAGGGGGAGGAGGAGCGGGGAGGAACACGAGGAGGAGAGCGGAGGTGAGGAATCTGTTTGGATGAGGAAGTGGGGGCATTAAAGTAGATAGAGGAGGCGGGAGGAGGAGGAGGAGGAGGAGGAGGAGGAGGAGGAGGAGGAGGAGTAGGAGGAGCAGGAGGACGACGACGATGGCGAGGACGAAGAGCGGGGGGAGGATGACAAGGACAATGGGTAGGAGCAGGGGGGATGAGAGGAGGAGAAGGAGGAGGAAAAGGGGACAGAACACGAGGATGAGTATACGGAGGAGGAGCGAGGAGCGAGGAGCGAGGAGCTAGGAGCGAGGAGGCAGTAGGGAAGAGCGAGAGGGGCCAGCATCCTGCCAGCAGGGCCGCCGGGCAGGACCTGGCGGACCACTTCGGGCTCGACGGGCGCATCGCGGGCAAGCTGCAGGAGGCGCTCGACACGCGCGAAGAGCCAGGCAGCCTCCCAACAGCAGTGGGGGGGCATAGCGCGAAGAGCATTCTCCGTCGCGTGGCCAGGTTGTGGGGATGCCTCTAACGAAACGCTGGTTTGGGCACCCCCGGCTCCTCTCCGCTCGGCGCCCCATGGTCACCGCGACGCAGCAGGCCTACCAGGGGAGCACCACGAGGGAGGGCCGCCGGGTGTGGTTACACCTGCCCGCTCGCGGCCCCAGGCGCTGATTTCGGCACCCCCGACTCCTCCCCTGTCGGAGTCCCAGTGACACCCCGATGTACAGTCGGGGCGCTGAAGAAGGAACTCTTGTCGTTAGATAGGGGCCCCGTGTTCCTTCATTGTTTCACCGTTTGCCCCAAGCTTTCCGTAGGTTTTCGAAGGGAAATCGAAGTTCGACTTCTGGAGAAAAGGGGCCTCGTTCTTTATTTTGGGTTCCTTAGGTCAGCGCCCCGACTGTAGCAGACATGACCCTTGGGCACTCCAGAGGGGGAGTCGCCAGGGAGCGTCCGTTCGACACAGGCAGAGGGCCGCTCTTTCCGACGCGACCTGCGGGAAGCGCGAGGAAGTCTGCTGCACGTGTGTGGGGATCTGCGCGTCGAGCACTTTGGCAGGGATGGTCCGCCTGCGCGCACCAGGCAACATGTTGGCCCCCCGACGTCCCGGTCAAGCAACAGCGTGAAGTGATCCAATCCCCCCCCTCGCATACATTGCCCAATGGTTTGCCGCGAGGTGCACTTCGGGTTGTTGAATGTCAACTACTAAACAAGGATTTTTGTTGGACCCCCCCTCGGGCGCTTTGACGCTCTCGCCTCGGCGCCGGCTACATGTTCATTGAAAAGGAGGCTCACGCTCGAGCGGTTTGAGGGGCCGCCAAAACCAGCCCCCCAACAACAACAACAACAACAACAACAACGCTCCCGCTCGAGATCTCCCCCTTTTTTTACTCAGGGCAGGTGCTCTTGCTCGCCGCCGAAAGCTGCCGTCCCGACAAAACCAGCGCTCCCGCCCGAGACGTTCTCTTGTTCTACGCTGGATGCTCTCCTTTGAATTTTTGGAGTGGCGCCGCTCCCAGCAAGAACAACGCTCCCGCTCGAGGCTTTCTCGCTTTTTCCTCAGGACGGTGCTGTTCCTCGCTGCCGACAGCCCCCGTCCCGACAAAACCTCGGCTCCCGCTCGAGACGTCCTCCCTTCTTACTCAATGCGGTGTTCCTCCTCGCCGCCGACAACCGCCGTCCCAAAAAACCAGCGTTCCCGATCGAGACTTCGTTTTGCTTTACGCTGGACTAGCGCCCCACTCTCTTCAGCATTGGCGCCGCTCCCAGCAACAACAGCGGCCCTGCTCGAGACTTCCTCCATTTCTACTCAGGGCCAGGTCCTGGCCTCGCCGCCTATAAGCCCCATCCCCACCAAGGCAATCCTGTCGCTCCATACGTCCTTGTGCTTTACCCTTGGGCTCCACTGGCGGTCTCGCATCGGCGCAGCAAGGCGCGGGCATGCGTTTTCGAGGCGGATATGTTGAAAATCCTCGGAGGAGGCGTTGGCAAGACCTCATGGGCGGGAGATCTTGGAATGGGAATAACGGACCCCGCTATAGAACAAGAGTCCCCCATGACGGGGATGGTTATCATGGTCGCATGCTTCGTGTGGAAGCATCGCGCATGAGGGTACACTGACTGTTGCTGTTGTTGTTCTTGGTTGTGGTGGTGGTGGTGTTGGTGTTGTTGTCGTCGTCGTCATTGTTGTTGATATTGGTGGTGTTGGTGTTGTTGTTGTTGCTGCTGTCATTGTTGGTGGCGGTTGCGGTGGCATTGTTGTTGTTGGTGTTGCCGTTGTTGGAGATTTTGGGGAGGGGGTCGGCATGGTCCCTGGTCGGCGCAGGTCGAGTGGGGGAGGAGGTGTATTAACTCATGGAATAGGTGAGGGGAGGGGGAGGGGGAGGGGGAAGGGAGGAAGCAGGGCAAGGGGAGGACGGCTGAAAAGCAAAGATGGAGGCCCGCAGCAGGAGGCGATTTCCAGGGTTCGCTGCGCGCACAAACAGCAGTATACCTCGTTACTGTCCTGCTCCTGCCTTTGCGATTGGCTGCTGCTGCTGCTGTACTTTCCCTTAGTAAGGGGCTCGCGTCCTTATCGAGCAGCCTCACGCCAGGAAGGCTGGCCGTGCTCATCACACTCCCGGAGGGGCCCGAACCTCCACAACTGTGGAGAAAGCGTCGATAGTGAAACGATCGAAGCACACCCAGCGTGGCGGTCGAGGCCTCTATTTGGGAGTTCTCGGATCCGTTACCCGCGCGACTTGGCTCGGCGCACAGGTGAGGACCTCGAGGTGCTGTGGGAGATTCTCGACGAGGCCAGAAATCCGCCAGGGCTCACGATGATCAAGGCATCGCCCCGCATCGCCTTTCGCCTGGGAGCACAACGAGGAGGAAGAGAAGGAGGACAAAGAGGAGGAGGAGGAGGAGGAGGAGGAGGAGGAGGAGAAGGGGGAGGAGGAGGGAGGAGGAGGGAAGGGAAGGGGGGGAAGGGGGAGGACGAGGAGGCAGACCGTGAGCACGGGGCCTTCGTGACGGCGAGAGGGAGGGGCCCGACGTCCCGCCGGCCTTGAGAGAGAACTGCGAGACCGCAGGCTGCATTTGCTTTCTGGTGGCCTTCGGAGGCCGCCCGTCGGTCTCCGGGGCCAGCGAAAGACCGCTCACCGCAGGCGCATCTGGAGGCCTGTGCTCGGACGTGGAAGGTGCGGCACATCGCCGGGGACTGCGCTCTTTGCAACGCCCGCGCGCTGCTGCCGGGCGATGCACGTTGGATTCGTGCTCGCGCCAGGAGGCGTTTTTCGACGCCCGCCACGAGCTTTCAGTGTCGGGTGTCTGCTGCGTTCTCCTTAGCCTCCGGGCTCAAACTTGCAGAAGGGTGGACCCCGCCCGAGCGGGGCGCTCTGGACGCGGCCAGTCGCGTTCACCAGCTGCGCCACGACGGCGAGGCGGCGGGCGAGGTCCACGCCCGCTACTGGCCCCCTGCCAGCAGCGCAGCTGTGGCTCGAGGCCCCCGCCACCTCCGACGTCGTGGACGATGCGGGCCTGGACAGCTTCAGAAGCCTACCCGCGGTCCTCCGAGCCGCGACCGCGGGCGCAGCGGGCGCGCTGGGCCGAGCGCCCCGTCGGGCTCCCGTCCCGCCCGCGGCGGTGGAAGGCAGCTGGGCCCCCGCTTGGGCCGCTCAGGCCAGGTCGCCATCCCGGGCTCGCAGCAACCTGGCACGGCCGCGCGAGTCGGCGCGGCAGCGGTTTCTGCTGCTGGCGCTTCTCCTGAGCGCCCTTCAGCGGGAGCGGATCCGCCCAGCCGCGCAGCGGGGCTCCTGCGACGTGCTGGAGCAGCTGGCGGACTACCTTGGCCGACGTCCGCTTCCCGCTTGATCGGGGTTGCAGAGGGCGAGCGTCTCCTCGCCTTCGTGGGGCGGGCTCGGGCCGCGGGTGGTCGCGCGCTCTGGCTGGGCGCCTGCTGGCCGCGGCGGTCTGGGCGCAGCCGACGCTCCGGGGGCCTTTGCGCCAGGTTCTCCCAGGAGCGCGCGCGGCGACGCTGGGTTGGCGGCAGCTTCAGCCGGCGCCGGCCGTCGCTGCGGCGGGGCGATGCGCCGGCCCTGGCCCGGGCCACGCTGCCTCGCTGCCGCGCGGGGGGCCCGGCTATCATCGCGACGTTCGAGACCAGCATGCGCCCCTCGGAGCTCCTCGGCCTCGCGGCGGCGCAGCTGGCCCCGACCGCGGGCAGTCGAGGACAGGGGGCCTTCCTGGGTTTCTGCGCGCACATGGAGGAGCTCGGTCGCCCGTCTAAGACGCGGGCTTTCGACCTCAGCGCGCTGCTTGACCTGGAGCGCCAGTGCACGCCGGTGCCTGCCTTGCAGGCTCCGAAGGGCGGTCGGCGTCGGGCCGAGCGCCTGTTGGACGTCAGCTCGCAGGAGTTGCGCCGACCCTTCGCGGGCGCCGCTCGCGAGGAGGCCCCCTCGGGCGAGTCGACGTTGCGCGCGCTGAGGCGCGAGGGCGCCAGCCACGACCGCCTCGCGCAGGCGCGCTCCCTGTCCAAAGCGCAGCAGCGGGGGCATTGGCGGAGCTTCCGCAGTGTTGCTCTTTACGACGAGCACGCGCGGGCCTTTGCAGCTCGGCAAGCCCCTGGCGTCGGCCCAGGCGAAGATCGCGACGATCGTGGAGCGCGGCGTGATGCCTTTCGCCGCGCGCAGCTCGCAGTACCTGCGCAGCCGCAGCCGCGCGGGCGGAGGGTCTCCACCAAGTTGTTCTCTGGCTCGGGTACCCTTGGCAAGGCGCTGGCCAGTCGCAATGTGCCGGTCATCTGCATTGATATCTGTCACGGGCCTCAGTGCGACCTGTTGACTGATGAAGTATCATTGATGCTGCTCCGGTGGGTACAGTCGGTAAATTATCGGTGACGTGGTCTGGAACGCCTTCTCAGAGTTTTACGATGGCGCGTCGCGTCCCAGAGTGGTCTCGCCTTCCCATTGCCTTCGTTATCATGGGCGTCCGTCTGGCTTGCCCAAATTGTGTGACCGAGACAAACAAGTCGTTTCGGAAGTAACTTGTTGCCCCACAGAAGTGGGGTGTCGCTGCAGGCCTGCATTACGCGTCACTGACATTGTGGTGAAGAGAATTCCGCTCAGTCTTTTCTCTGGCTGCCCCGCGGTCGCCCTGACATGTTTCGTCATCCCTCGCGTGCTGGCCAGGTGATAGATTGTTGCGCGTTCGGAACCCTTTGGAGAGCCAGGACCAGGCTTCAGCTTTTCACTGTGACATGTGCTATGTTGGCGAATGCTCAGTGTACTGGTCGAGGTAAAGCCATTTCCTGTGGAAAACTTTACTCTCAGCTAGATGGGCCAAATGGAGGAGGAGAGTTTCATTCTCGGCAAAAACAAGTCTCCGCAGAGAAGTTGTTGCTTCGTGCTGTCTGAGGTTTTCGCTAAGTCAATGGGAAGTGTGCGTGTGCGTCAGCTCTCGCCTGTCTCCTCTCTTCCTCTCTGTCATTCCATTTCGGGCCTCGGGGGGAGGCGTTCCTCTTTCAAGTTGTAAGGTAATGTGCTATAACTACAGAGTCACCGAATGCACTTCGCCACCCCAGTCCCGGTTGCGGCGGGTCCTGGAAATGGGCAGATTTGGTTCGACGCCCGCCCGTTGCTCATAGGCTTTCTGGTTCACCCAGAACCCTCCCACCCTCGGAAAGCTGGGGCAGACTTGGCGCGAAGAAGAGCTCACTTGGTCTCCGCAAAAAGTGGTTTGGAAATGAGCAGTCCGAGGCGTGATGATGATGATGGTGATGATGATGTGGCTGCTGCAGCAGGCTCATCTTTTCAAATGCGCGATGTGCTGCATTGCCCTCCTCGCGCGGTGGAGGTGTCAGCGTGCTGTCACGACGTGCTGCCGTCTGCAGCATGTCATTTTGGCTTTGTGCGCAGGTTTTCTCCTACGCGTTTGGATCCCGGGCGCATCTACTCGACGACCAGCCCGTCTTCGGAGGGGAACAGGGTGATCCAGTCGATTTCGACGGCGACACCATGGGTGACATCTCCCACGACTGCGGGGACCACGATGACATGATGGGCGGCGGCTCAGGCGGTTCAGCAGCGGCATCGGCCGACGACCCCTGGGCTGCTCCTCGCAGCTCAGCACAGGCGGCGCCCCTTGAAAATCACCCCTGCACGTCTCTTTCACGAACTTCAAGAAGAACGAGGAGCAGGCGAGATGCGCGACAGCAGCCGAGACTTCCTTCAGGGGGCCCTGAGAGATTCGCCCCGATTCGGACATCCAAGATTCCACGGGCGTGGGCGGCGCGGGAACCGCAGAGGTCGACGAGGTGTTCCGCGACGAGCAGCCCGGGGCCACTGACATGCACATTCCGCACTCCCTGGGCCGCTTCGAATCTAGAGGCCGAGGCGTCATCGCACGCGATGGCGGCGACAGCGATGTCGTGGACTACGTGGCCAGGGAGGACACCGACAACGAAGCCCTGTCATCCGAGGCCGAGAAGAAGAGAGATGAGAAGATGGCGGGCTCAGACAAAAATATCACCGACCGCAGATGTGAACAGGCGAAGAGGGCACGCCGCGTGGACGACTACAACAAGACCCTCGCGGAGTACGTCAACCGCCTCGAGCCACCTGAGGAGGTCCCCAGGGAGCGGGTGCCATCCGAGTCGGTACCAAGTGTCTGTCACCTCAGAGCGCACATTGCACTCCCCATGGCCACGACCCAGAACCCCAAACTGGAATTTCGCCGTTTGGACCAGGTGCTCTCCGGGGTGCATGATGCTGAAGGCGTTCCCTGTGCCGTCGGCAGGGGGCCATCCAGCTGCGGGAGGCGGGAGAGGAGCCTCAAGCTGAAATTCAACGGGTCAAGCTGCAGCGGCACCTCGATCTGCACCAGACCAAGACAACTTTGATCAAGCATCGCGGCGAGGCGGAGAACAGACTCGCATGCGCCCAACGTCAAACCGAGGGGCTGAAGCACAAGGCGTTCGACCCAGAGACTGCAAACCCTGCGGGCTACGCTGGAGGGCTGCCGACCTTTCTCTACAAGTTCGCGGCGCGTTCGGAGATGCAACGCATCCAGCGTGCCGAGAGGAGCCAGCTCGCGAAGTTATTGTTCAATTTCCACACCTGGGCTTCTTGGAACCGTTACCTCAAGAGGCAGCAACGGAATCGAGCCCACGGACCATGCGCGCGTTGAACGACAGTAGAAGCCACGTGGCCATGATGGCGGGCCCGGAGGGAGCAGTGGACACACCGCGGGGAGCCCGACAACCTACCAAGAATGACCTAGGCCGCGCGCTTTCATCGCCAGACCGAGCAGTCCGAGGAGGCGGTCGAGGACGAGGGCTCGAGCGAGGGCGACGACAAACAGGACGAAGATATCGCGCAGGAGGAAGAGCCCCGCGGTGGACAACCGGGCGCAGCATCAGGTGACCGCGTCAACGGCGGCCGCTTCTTCCGGCAGTACGAGACGCCCTACGAAGGCTGCGCGGAGAGGAAGCACATTGCCAGGGCTCTGGCCAGAGCAAGAGAGGAATAGTAGGAAGAGCCCGGGCCGACTCCAGAGACAGCAGCGGGCGATGCTCCACAGCGAGAGGAACCAAGAGACCTGCGACAGGAGCACAGTGTCCTCGCGTCAAAATTTACCTCGCTGACCACCCGACCCAGGACGCGGCCCAGGAGAGCCGAGGAGACAGCCAAGGATACCACCGAGGACGACAAACCATTTTTCCCAAGGCCGAAGTGCGTCGGGGCAGTCGGCGTCTACGTCCTGTTCCCCGACGATAACAACAACTTCGACGTCCTGGTCCATCGTCGGAGCTCCAAGGTGAGGCACTCGATCGCGGTCGCCACTCCAGGAG